ATGCACAAAGCATGCCAGTACATTGAAACCCGGAGGAACTTTCCATCTCTTTAACCCTACTGTAGACATTCCTGGTTCCTTCAGATAGTTTATTTGGATTTAATTAATTGAAAAAAACCTTTGAAAAATCATAAGCTTAATCAAGTCCATATACTTGCTTTTGAGCAAGAGTCACTACATGTGGTATAAAAGGGTATTGCCACAGCAATCTGGACTCTCACCTTAACCTGTCCTCCTGCTAAAATGGAAACAAAGCCAAAGACAGTGCCAAAAGAGAGGGGTGGCTTTTGCTGGCCTCTTCCTTTCTTTTCTCCCACCTCTCATCTCCCCTTTGCCCTTCAGCTCCAAATACCTTTTGGTTTAATTTATCTGCCTCTGCATTTAGAAGAAGACAATATTGGATGTTTCCCTTTTAAATCTGGGGAAGTGGAGTTTGCTCATTACCTAACCTTTATTTGCAGCCCTAGTCAACAGACAGGCTGGTCAGGGAGGTCAGAAAGGAGAGATGGAGAGAATGAGGGACAGAAGCTTGTGATCTCTTGACAAAAGGGAAGAATCAGGCATGGAATAAAAACAGGAATAGGAGTGGGGTCTAAAGGTGATGGGTAGCTGGTGGAGATGGAGGGATAGGAGCTACATAGGCAACAGGCAAGGATGAAGTCCTTGAAAAAGGCTGGCAAAAATCAAGCAATCTCAGACATGACCAATTCTGCACTCCACAAGAGTGAAACTATTCCCTCCTGTCTTTTCTGTGACACTGCCCCAAGGCCCCCACTGCTGCTCGAGCTCCATTATCTGAGGCATTGTGCCTCACACCAGTGACGTGCTCACTGCCACAAGGACCTTTGTTTAGGTTTAGCATGACACAAAATGCAGCAAAGAGTGTGACAAAATATTGTATGAGACCAGTAGAGGAAGAACAACTGGAGCCTTGGAAGCCTCCACTGCATTTTACATTTTGTAATGTCACAGTTGCAGTCAAAGTAAATAATGGACAAGTAATGTACACACACAGCAGCAACCCTCCCTCCATCTCAGCCATTTCCACTGTCTTTTTTTCTCCCATTCAAGAATGAGGAAATCCCAAGCCACCCGATTTAACCTCTTGTCGAAGGGCAGAAGGCTAGCACAGGCACAGCTGAAGCACAGCACGTGCTGCTAGAGGTCACAGCTTTGACTTGGAGCATTCTGTGAGAGCAGCAGAAGGGAGCAGCTGGACACGTAGCAGCTTTGCCCTGACTCAGCCTGGAACAGCCCATCTCTGTCCCTCGTTCTGCCCTGCACCGTACTGTCACAGCTCTTTGCAAGTGAGCTGGGTACAGAAGTTACTTTTCAGCTGGAGCAGTTCCCAGCCCAGCTCCCAGGGAAGGCATACAAATATTCTGCCAGCCAGAGTGGGAAGAGTGTCAGGGGCAGGCAGAGGGGCAGCAGGGCTTGTAGAAGCTGCTGGAGCTGTTCTGCTCCAGAGGCACAGGAGTGGCCTCAGCTGTGCTTGTGGGAAGCAGGTTGTTTTACTAAACTGCATTTTCAGATGCCTAAAATGGATTTTGGTACTCAAGTTGAACACCTTAGGTTTCATTTTGCTAGGATGGTAATCACTAAGCCAGCAGTTCACCTCCACCAGAGTGAGGAGCCCTGTTCCCAGACATGCAATCCCATCATCTCTCTTTTGTCACCCCTGCTACCTGTGAATGAATGAATGAATGAAGCCCTTCAGTCACCAGTGTTGGTCACTAACCCAGCAGGAGTGTGAAAGAACCAGCCTGGTCTTCTGCTGTGCCATTGAGTTGTGTCAGCTCACGGGCAAGTCAAATAAGCTCCAGAGCCACCACAGATGAGGAGGCAGTCTCTTTGGCTGGGAAGAAGTTTGGGTTAGAGGAGAAGGAAAAGAAGGAACAAGACTTCCCCCTTATGGCAAGATCAAGCCACTGGATATGCTTAGGTGCTCACAGATGCAGCTGGAGAGGTCAATTTACACGTGTTAAACCAGGAATACACAAACTCTGCAGGAGCTGGAAGTGCTGCAATTTACTGCAATCCCTAAATTCACTCCTATTTTATATAAACATGGTCCTAGTTCCACATCTCTTATTCATTTAGAAATACTGATTAAAGAAGTTTTAGTGAATAAAATTGGAGAAAAATCAGTTCTTAACCTACAGGCTTCTGCACTTTGAGGAAACAAGTACCTTTTGAGGATATATTGAGGTACATCCCCTAACTATAATTTGTACATAGTATAAGCAAAACTCATTATAAAGAGAATGCAATTTTAAACCACACAAGTGTAAATTTCCCATGCGTGCCTAATGCAGAGCAGTACCATTGGTTTAAATCAGACTTTTCAGTGTCCCTCACCCCTCCCAGTTCCTGGGATTAAGTGTGCCCTTACCTGCCTTAAGAGAGGGAAGATGTTCATCCTTGCTAAGCTCCCTCTCACCACACACTGGAAAAAAAGTTCAAATAGAGTTTCCCTCTTCATGCCAGGCCTGCATCACTTCTAACTGCTCATCCTTCTAGCACTGGCTTTGTCCTCACTTAACAGAGCATACTATGACATGGCCTGGAGCTACCCACAAAGATAGCAATTACTGCTCTCTGTATTGTTGGCCTGGTTTTCAAGAGGCCTGGGCAGTCCTACTTCTTCAAGGAGCAAAAGGGCCTGAGGATACCATCACCTCTGGAAATCAGGCCATTAGGGACAAGAAGAGGATGTGAAGGAAGGCATGGGGGCTGGTAGGAAAGCATTGCTTCCATTCAAGGAGCACATCAGTGAGAAGCTGCCACAGTCAAGGGGAGAGAGTAAATAATCTAACAGAACTTTCTTGCAGCCCAAAAAGTCCCGTGAAAGCCTGGATGGCTGCACACCACGTCTCTGAAAGCAATGACAAATCACATTGTGGTTGAGGCATGTAAAATAGTTCTGTCAAGGCAGCGGCTCCTGGCGTGGCCAATTTGTCTCAGTGAGACAGTCATCCTTAGTGCTGCTGCCTGCTTAATGCTGGGGCCTTGAGGGCAACTAAACTATCTTCTCACTGAAGTTCTGGGCTGAGGCTTCCTCCAAAGGAGAGAAAGGTATCAATTGGACAAAGCCATTCCTTGTGGTGCCACCACTGGGGGTAGCTCACTTCCGTACTTTCCACCAAGGAGGAAGGGGAGAAGCTGCTGGATCTGCTGAGCAGCACCCGGAGCCACGGTCAGCCTCAGCGAATGACTGCTCCTCCCAGCATGGGACCCAGCTGTGGCTTCCCGTCACCTTTCCAGCCTTGGAGTGCCCTGACTTGGCTGTGATTACTGCTCAGCAGCACAGCTGCAGGGCAGCAGGGCACGGGCTGCAGTACATCTGCCCAGCACTTTTCCACACACAGCTTTCCACCCAGGAATCCTATTGTCATGAGACATTAGATGTTTTAGGCTCATTAATTCTGGTGACACAATCCAGAAATGTATTTTTAGAGGGAGTGAGCAGGTGTCCATGGCAGCATTTTAGCTGACAGTGCTGCAGAATTGCTATTCAGGAGTACTCGATTGTTCTTTGTATCTTGATTTGTTGCTGAAAAATGTGGTTATTAATATTTTACCTCTTCTTAGCTTCAGGAATGGCCTGGATGAGACAAAGGGAAACACTTGCACTCTTGAATGAACTTTGATCTATCACACTTCCACTAGGAAACTAGACAAGTGGTGCTAATACTAATGATTCATCTGTAGTATTGATTGTAGATGATGGTTGGGAAAGAGAATGAAAATAAGAAATTAAAACTAATGACTGTACGAGACAGAGAAAATATTTTGGTTCAGAAAATTACATCAAAATCATGTCCTTTTTTCCACAAGAATTAGAAATCTGCATAAAATTATTCAGTCAGAAAATTGGTTGGTAGTGTTAAAAATAATGAAAATCTATATTCACAGTTACAAACTATTTTCTTTTCTTTTTTTTTTTTTTTTTGCATAACTACCTTAAATTGAATCTTTAAGGCTGCTGTAATATCATCCTCCATCAATATTTTTAAAATGCTAGGCTCATAGAGCTCATTTTCTAGAAGGAACCATACAGTAAGTGAGTTTGACCCAAGCCCATCTGAATGTAATTACAAGGATGGCAAACTGGTTTCTAATGACAATCACAAGCATCATGCTTGAATCTACAAATAATTTAGTTTGTCTGAGCTCCCACTCTTTGTATATGTACCTATAAATTTTAGTTTGCTGCAGCAAAGTTCAGGACATTCTGCTGGCCTTGGGAAATGAAGGACTGATTTCCCATTGCTGAATATGAACAGAGGTGCTGCTGTATAGAGGCTGAAGTGGTCTTTAAAAGCTTACAAAAAACCCTGTCAAGAAATTCATTACCACAGAGAAGCCTATTACAAATATGTGGTCTGACCACAGGGCAGCTATTTGGAAGCAAATCAAAACTGAGGAGAAAAAAAAGATTTTTCAAATTCACTGATACTCATTTCAATTAATAGCCCACCTGCTAAGTGTAACAAACCTGAACATATTGTGATCATTAATGCTCTAAAGTAGCCTTTTGTCAAAAAACCCCAAAACCAAGCTGGAGACAATGCTGAAAGACAAATCAATGCCAGTGTTACTCTCTGACATACTGGGGTAAAAGGTTGATTCTTGCAAAGGCTAGAACAAATTCCTTGTCTTTATGTTAAGAATGATTAACTATTACTCACAAAGACACCAGAAAAATATGGAGAGGAGGAGGGAGTGCTGAGGTCTTAGCCCTCAAGAGCTGTGGTTGTGCATGAAGAGATTTACATTTCTCAAGGTGAATACTGCCCTGCTCTGAGACTAGAAATTGGCAGACAAGATACTGCAACCCCTTCCCACCCCAACAGGGAAGGGCAGGGTCTGCCTAAGTGGTTCAAGGTCTGGGCAAGTCAGGGCTCAGGTCCTGCGGGGGAGGAGGGGGTTCGTGAGAGGAGCTCAGGCAAATGCTCCATTTGAATGACAAATGCTTCACCACTGTGACTTCTTCTCACAGCTCACTGCATTTAGGAAGCGGTTTGAAGGATCGAAGCCTGAAGCAGTTGACCTTTCCCACCTCTCTTTCCAGGATGCTGGAGGTCAGTTTAAAGGTTCTGAGTTCCATGGCAGGCTAAACACCAGGGTGGGGTGGGTCTCACGGCTGTGTGCCTGGCAGGCAGCACCATCAGCAGGGCTGCAGGTGGGGACAATGGCCACAGGGCCATCAGCCCCGGGAAAGCACCTGCAGCCCCAGGGAGGTGAGCTGAGCCACTCCTGGTGCACACCTCTGATACCATGGAGTCCAGCTCCATCCTCACTTTCTGCCTTTGAATTCTGCAATAGTTCTTTTTTTCAGACTTCTCAAATGGCTTTGAATGTCAAGCAATCAGAAGAAGTAAAGTCTGGAAGACCTGAAAAACATTAATAATTTTTTTGAACCTCAAGGGTAGTTTTTATGGGTATGTATATCTCCTGTCTCTGTTGATGTCCTACAAATAAGAAAAAAGGATTTTTAAAAATAACCTTGAAGTTAATTTTTAATATAGGAATGATAATGAATTAAAACTGCAGAAATTAATTTTGGACCAAAAGCATACCTCAGGTCCTCCAAGACAGGGATGTATTTAAAATGACAAGCAAAGAAAATCCATTACATAGACAGAATAAAATTTATCATTAGTCGTTATCTGAAATACAAAAATGCCATATATATGTTATTTTAAAATAAGTTAGATGAATTATTTTTCTACTTTCTTTTCCTACCTTTCTAAATCTTGTGGAAGGACATATGCCTCAGGCAAACTTTAGAACTATTTCCTTTTTGATAAAAGGGTCTTTCTGTTTCAAAGGCAATCTGGTCAATAATATAGTTAAAGCTATACAGGAGGAGGAATAAAGCTTTTGATTTAGTACAGTGTTAATGTTAGGAAAGATGCTTAATCCTCAATTTTCTGAAGTGTCTTTACTGTCAGATATTACCCTGTATCAGCATACAACATTCACTCTCAAAAATGTCTGCTACCCTCTTTTTGGTGGTTTTTTTTTCCCCTTCTTTTTGTAACAAGGTAAATTAAAAAATTAACCAAGTTATTTTCTTGGTTAATATTAGCTCAATTCCAAGGGACCTGTTAGAGGGAGATCAGTTGTCCTGTGTTGTCTGGAGCAATCCTGGTGTGCAAGCCCTTTTTTTGACATCTTCAGACACTGTTTTCTTACAGGCTGCATAGCCTGCTCCTGCCTTTGCCACCTTACCTGCTCCATGGGGTACCCTCTGGGATACTTTTTGGGGATTGCTGTGTGGGTGTTTCTACTACAGCAAAATCTGACTTCCCCATCTCTAACTACAAGATAGGGTAACAGAAGAAACACATAGAGAAACGCCTGTAACTCTGTAATCCAGTTGGAATATGCAGTGGTTGCTCCCCTCCATCTTATCTGCCTAACACCAGATGAATCTACTGCTGTGCCAGCAGATGAATTCCCATGCAGCAATAGTGTGGACAGGGCCTGGAAACAATGGGAGAGGGGCAGAGGGAGACAAAACCTTCTCTTTTCCACATAGTCAGTGGTCCTACCCACAGCAGTGAGGACACAGTGACACTCTGCTCCCTTATTCAGTGCTGTGCTGGTGCCACCACTTTTTGACTTATCATAGCATTTATATCAATAAGCCCCAATCATCATTTTTAAAAACTGGATTAATTTACTGTCCTCAATTCCTCAGACTGATGGCCAGGTCTTAAGAGCTGATGAAGAAACATTTATGAAGAAACAAATTCTTTAGGTATCCATCAAACTACAGTGTAACAGCTGAATTGCTGATTTGTGTCTTTTCTTTTCACTCGATCCTTTTCCTCCCCTTCCACACTGGCTGCACTGTATAGCCATACCACAGAGATGTTAATGTAATTACTGGCCAAGACAAATCAATGTGGGCTTTGAAGTGCCTGGGTGTTTTGTTCATGTCCTCTTTCCTGGGGCAGCCCTTGTACAGCCAGTGCAGGGAAGCAGAGATGTGCTCTCTAATCACCAAGTCCTCAAAGGACTGAAGCAATGCAGGAGATCATTTTACCTTTACAGTGGTAGTGATACAGCAGTTCCAATGTCTGCCCAAGATTCTGCTGTAAAATAACATACTTCAGGGCTTCCCACTGCAGCTACAGAAAATGTTCCACTTTTCTCTTGAGGCTGATTTTATGAAATCAGAAGCAAATCCTTAAAGAGCTTAAGATGATAATCTGGTTGGGTTTCATTTATGAGAAGTCTTTCTTGTGTTTAAGAGAGTGATTAAGGATTTGCTTTGTATAAGCTCACATGTCTCTGTCTGCTGGCATCACAGTCAGGTATTGCTGTCTTTGTTTTAGAGTGAGAAGCTTGTGTCTCTAGGCCTGGTGCCCTGCACCACCTTGTTTGACAGCGTCCATCTACCATGGGCACAGCCTGAGGGGCAAACAGTGGTGGCAGGTGCCAAACATGTCTGTCCTGGGCTTTTACCACCTTCCTCTTGGGCTGGTAAATATTCCAACACCACCTTCCTGAGAAGTTGCCTTAGCAGGGAGTGAGGGCTATGGAGAAAACTGGTGTTATTTTAACCTCAAGAATTAGTATATTCAGCTGAGATAGACTGTGGTGTCCAACATTTAGCTGGTGTCATTTTATAGACACATAAGCCTGGGTTTAGTAGAGCTGATATTTTGCAAGAGGAAAGGAGAGGAGAATCTTCCAGTAGCTTTTTTGCAAAAAGAGGAAGAGCAGCAGAAGGTCATCAAAGATAGTAACATATCTGGTGTTACAGAGACTGCCCTTTAAAAGAAATTCCTATAGGGCATTTCCATGTCAGCTCATTCCTTGTGCGTACTTGTTATGAAAACTATCCTTGTTTTTCCCAGCATTGAGAATTCAAATTATATTTTGTGACTTAGTTTTGTATTTTTTTCCATTTCAGAAGATACTCTATCCTTGTAAAACATTATGGTTTGTTGGTGCTGAAATGCCAGAAGGATTTGTAGTGACTTTCACCAAACCACCTGAAAAGTAGGTCAGTAGCTATACAATTTCAAGAGATCTGCAATGCTACAGCAGAAACTGAGTTAATCCTGATGTATATGATGAATATTCCTCCTAACCTCTCTGCAGGGGACAGTGTGGACATGAATATATCTTCATTAATCTTTACTCGACTGGTTATTTCCAAAGGGGAGGGCCTCGTGACATTTTCTTTTTCATTAAATACCATGGGGCCAAATCTCTTGAGCTCATTTGTTCAAACAGAGGCATCTAAATCCAGATTTAGCCCATAAACTCTCATGAGGGGAAAATAAAATTTCATGGTAAGAAGAATAATGTAATAAATATGTAATATGAATAATGTAATAAATATGTAATAAAACATGGTTTAAATTAATTTATATCTGGAATTCCTCTTCCCAAAGTAAACCTGCAATTAGCTTTATTTAGATAAAGGACAAATCTCTCATGGTGATGGTTCAGCTAAATATGTAGGTTTAGGTCTAAGCAACTTCACAAAGTCACCATTAAAATCCTGCAGGAAAGCCCTGGTGTATTCTGACTTAGTGAGTTTCCCTCGAGCAGTTCTTGCCTGCTCTATTTCATTTCAGCCTTGGTTTGTTGCTTTTAAATAGCTATTTTTAAAATTCTGAAATCTCTTTATAGCTGGCAGACAGAAAGCGTAGGCTGCAGGCAGAGAAATGGGTAGGGAAAAGAAGGGAAGGAGGGAGAGCAGATCTGAAGTAAGTCAGAAAAAATGCAAACATTACATAATGGAACATGTAAACACTTTACAAACAACATTAAAGCCTTTTTAGATTGAACTGACACCAGAGAACAGAGCAGGGGTAAGCATACTAAACTCACACACACTGCATGGAATCCCGTCCAAAACAGTTCCCATTGAGCTGTAAACCCTTGGACTAATGTGATGAAAAAAAGCAAATTATGTGTCAATAACTTAAAATAAAAATAGAAATATCCAAGTAATTATATAGGTTGCCTCAGATGGGGACTGATGGGGAGATGAGGGATTATACATAAGATTTGTGTGGCCTCTTAGGAGGTGGGTAAACACGAGCTCCTGGTGGGATGTGTGGCTTCAGAGGACAAACAGCAGTCTGAAAGAAGCAGGAGATGACAGGAGAAACACAGCAGTAACCAACCCACTACTCAGATAACATCCAGACTTCAAAGGCTGCACGTCAGGAGGGTGGTGGGGAAATGGCAGCAGAGCCATTGCTGGTGCTGCTGGGACCATCAGCAGGGGAGGCTGTGCTGGGGGCTGTGACAGTCTGATGGCCCTGAAAGGTTTTGTCCCCATGAAGAGGGGACTGCACTGGTGAGAAGAGGGTTCTGTGCAGATCAGATGACACCACTGAGAGGTGGAGGCATGAGTGAGAGGACTACAGCTGTCCTCCAGGGCTTTTCTTTGGGTGAAGGAGCTAGAAATAGCTATAAAAAAAATCTAATTAGCTTGTAAATGAGGAGATAGCTGAAGTGATCTGTCACAGGCTATAAATAACACTGTTCAGAAAAACAAAGTTCTAACAATGGCTTTATGGGTGGAAGCTGGAGCTGGGTAAGTTCAAGCTAAAAATAAAATGTAGATCTTGACCAGTGAAACACCTTATGACAGGATATGGTTAGCTTCTCTTTTGCATTAAATCTTTAAATCAGGATTAGATTTCCTTCCTTAAAAAAATTTTCACATTCAGTCAGCAGAGAATTGTTCAGATCTCTGCTCCTAGGGTGATGGGTAAAATTTTAGAGAGTTATGCTGAAGCCTGCAATGATGCGCCCTGGACTTAAACTCCGTGACTTTAGAGCACCCACCCTTGAGCAATATGTGATTAGAAGGGTTGCAAATGTGAATTAATTAACACTGAACAGCTAATCAAAGTGGGTTGGTAAATCAGGCAACCATAAAGGACAAACTATAAAAACAAGCTAAGTTTCAGCACTAGAAAAAATGTGGGAAAGAAGAGTGTTTCCAGTGAGGAATATTGCTCCTTCAAACCAGCCCTGTGTAAGATAAGTAAATGATTGTAGGCTTTTTGTGGCTAATGCATACTTAGAAGTTCCTCACTTGTGCACAGGTACATCAATTGCAAAAAGTCCATGGAGTGTAGGCCTGTGTGGGGTTACAGAATTGCCATCAGGCTGTGTATTTTCAGCACAGTCACACACTGAAAGCAGAGATGAGGCTTGGGTCCTTCTCCTTCACAGCAAGATTTTTTCTTTGAGTGGAGGATGTCGGTTTCTGTGAGACACAGCTGAATGGCTCCAGCTTTGCCCAGCGGAGAAAGGCTGCAGATGAATTTGCTATAGGAAAGTAAACCTTGGAAGCATGTAGATGCTTGTGAAATCCTCTGGGGATTTCATCCCTAGTGTCTTAATGTGTCTGGTTAATTGTCAAGTGCCAAGTTTACGTTCATCAATTAAATGAGAATGATTACAAACTGTCTTACCCATTGTCACAGAGGCAAAGGTTCCTTTCAACTCTAATAAATTAAATTAAATTGGCTCAAACCCTGCAACCCTAGACAGATTGGCTTTATGCTGAGAGGCATTAGTTTGATTGACACCTGTCTGGTTGACTGTGAATGGTTACCAGAATGAATAGCGTCAGACAATGGTGTTTTTAATGTTATGGGAGGGATTTCACATGAAAGGGACAACATCAGCTGGTGGATGCAGCACCCGGGAGAAGCATCCAACCAGTTATATAGCATCAGTGCCTTTAGGTTATAATATAGGAGTCTTATGAAGCCCTGAACATGTGGATAAATGTGTGTAAATATTATCATTGTTTTTTCATCCATCTAATTCTAGTTATCAAGCAGGAAACTCTATGTATTTGCAGAGATCAGCAATTCAGTGACAAAACATATTTCACACATGAGATTTTCTCCACGATTCTTTCCAATTAGCAAACACTGGGATGATCATCAACACCTAAAGTTTAACTTTGTTGCCAGGAAGGGGATCTAGATGATCTTTACCTTGTCTATGTGTTTTTAAAAGTCTTTTATACCATAACAGCTGCCTGCTCACCAGATCTTCCTGTTTTTTAATAGTCTCATCAGATCACTGTCTGCAAATGTAAGGCCCTACACAGCATCACTGATAAATCATCTTTGTTAAACCTCATCTACCCTGCATTTATTCTAAGGAACTGCTGCAACCTTGCATTCAGGATAGTGAAGCTGTACTGCCACACCAAATACTACAATCGTCTTCTGGCAGCAGATGGTTGCATAGAATAGAAAAATGGTTTGGGTTGGAAGGGATTTAAGACCATCTAGTTCCAACCCCCCTGATTTGGACAAGGGCAGCTTTCACTAGACCAGGTTGCTCAGAGCGTCATCCAACCAGGTCTTGAACACTTCCAGGGATGGGACACCCACAACACCTTTAGGAATGCAGTAAGTATTTATCTGGGAGCAGTTCTGCATCACTACTGCCAGTTTGGCTACCCAGCTAGTACAAATCAAGATTGTTCTACTTAATTCATTAAGCCTTCTTTCTCCTGAGGCTCCGGCATGTTGGACTTCTGGGAGGAATAGGAAAAGCTTGAAGGAAGATGCACACATTTTTAAAATTTACCCAACTATTTTAAAGGCGCCTTTTGCTAACATGTTGTGAAGATGAATTACACAGCTGTGCAATTCAAAATGCAGTTAAGCTGGCTCCAATTTTGCAAACATTTAAAATTGAGGGTAGACAGCAAGGAAACGGAATGTCTCTGGTTATAGGCAGATCACATCCTAACTGTATAAGAAAGGCCTAACGTTCTGACTTGCTCATATAAATTTAGGTACAAAAGAATTCAAAGTGATAATAATCAAAAAACAGGTCAATGAGGAGGAATATACCAATAATTTGATCATGTAAGTGTGATTGACAGCAACATGCATTTAGCATTATGTTTTGTGGGCTAGTCCTTGTAGGTTACCTCATCCTGAGAAACCTTCAGTCAAATTTAACTGTAGCACTATTTTCTGGCCTCTTTTTCTAGAATCCCCACTTGAGCAGTGTCACTTCTGTCTGCCTTCCTTTGATGCTTTTGGTGTGGTTCTCACAGAGGAGACACAGTGGGGTAAAACCATCAGCAAACACCTCCAGTGAGGGAGCAGAAGCAGCGTGTGCCGCGGTTTCAGCAGGCTTGGCAGCAGATGGGGGTGAGGGTGGGTAATGGTGCTTGTGGTTTTCCTCACTCTGAAGATAAGTGTTCTTTTTTATAAATTTCTGTTTTTCTTCTCAGACATGCAAGCACAGCAGATTTCAGTGTTTTGCTGCTGACTTGTCCATGTGCTACAGACTGTCTTATCAGTCGGTAAGAATGGTTTGTACAGCAAAGCAGCTGCCACTGGAGATCCTGTGTCCATAAGATGAGAAGAAGCTGCATTTTTACGTTGTTATGACACCAGAAGTTTATGTCTTGAGTCTAGAGGGATGTTTGGGAGACACTACCTTCAAAGTTTCTTTTTGAGCTGAAAGATGAAGAAAACCCAGCATAGACAGAAGTGTCTTGGGTCCAGCCCACATCCCACTGGTCAGACACTGTGCCCTAGTGGCTGGTAAGATGCTGTGTCTATTCTGACAAGGGTGGGGGTTTTTGGCATCTCTGTGCTAGGAATTCTTTTTTGTGAGCAGCATAGTACACAGAGAACTAGTGCCAATTTTACCTTCCCAGACTAAGTCATGGATACAAATTACGAAGTGTATGCTTTTCTCATTGTATTAGCATAGGCATGGCTCTCCCACAGATGAAATTGTATAACAAGACATTAATTCAGTTTTTGCATATTAAGTCTGTGACTGCAACGATGAAAGAATAGCTCCAGATAGTGCCACCACCTAGATGCAAAGAGATGATCAAAATATTTTTCTAATTTTCAGTATCTAACATGCTCCACACATTGCTATTAAATACTATATTCCAGCTGTCATTAATAAATTACTTCAGCTCTATTCCCTCCTGTAATGATAAAAACACACTCCTTAAGAAAAGCAGTGTATTCCATTTTGAATCAATTAATTTTATGAGTACGTCTTGACCCACAGTAGAATATATGTGGAATAATTGTCTGCTGTAACACCCAAAGTAATTAAAACTACATGAGGACATGTTTTGACAATGTATTTTATCATCGGGACTTATTTTCCTGTCGCACACTCAGAGGGCAATTTGATGACCATGTAAACAATTAATCACCTAGGAATGAATAAGGAAAACTTTCTCAACAGTCCAGAGATTTAATTTCC